GCATCGCTTCCATGAGGCCAATTAATCCATGATAAGTCAGTTGTGTAACATTTTCGTCCAAAAACTCTTGTAGTAACAATCGATTATGATTTCGTTCGTCACATATTTGCTCCACAAGCTGATTGTAGGTCAGATCTCCAACAGCCTTTCCTAAAGAAATGAAAACCTTCCGCGGCGAAACACATAAAATGTTCGAATAATAACAAAGTAACATACTAATTTCCACAAATTGGGGATCAGGGAGCCATCCGTGGTACAAATTGACACGCAGTAGATCGAACAAAGACAGTGCTGGGGTGAACTCGAAGTCAGTGACGTGGCGAAATCTGAACGAATAGAAAAAATGTAGGGCAGTTCGGCGACGAAGATGAGGGGGAGGGAGGGGCATCTTGTCCTTTTACTACACCCCATCGACGTGTTGACATCATGTGGGACCTGTGAAGTCTTGTGAAGCCAGAAAATGTTAGGTAGCAGAAGTGCGAGAGTCCCCTCCCCCCCCCACCTCCCTCCGCCAAAATCTATTCGAAAATGGTACTTCAGTGTCCAAATATTTTTTTTTGTCAAAACATCATACCTAACGTTGACATCCAGTCCTCGACCTAAGTCTGGAAGAAGATTTATCACATCATCCAGATTTCTGTCATAGTTACTCTCTACATGACTGGCCATATTATCAGGGCGCATCTGGAGAAGGGCGTCTGCAATCTAAATTGTGTTCTCTCTGCTCTAAATCATCACGTCTGAGAAAGTGCAGGAAAAAGTACCAGGTGTGTGAGTGCGTCCCTCGTTATATGTCCATTTGCAGGAAGTTTCGTTAATCCTTAAAAAGAAAACGTGTAACATTCAAAAACAGTAAAGAAGTAAGACATCCATATTTGAAGGATCTGTGAACAAACGCTTTGTAGAGCCAACAGGCATTGACGAGTTTTTTATCAAAGGACAGTTGGAGCGCAAGTTGAGAGTTTTGAGTCGACGATGGACGTCTTGTTAGAGTTGAACTGGACAGTTTTTAGCTGAAAATTCATCAATATCGAAGCTTGGAAGAACAAACGCTGTAAAATGAATGAGACTACTGCCTGCGACGGCTAGCGGTAATATCTTAAAGGCTACGCAAATTCAGTGTTCAATTGTGCTCGCGCTATTAGAACATGTGACTTCTCACTAGATTAATCAATTAGGAGGCATATATCAACGCGCGCGCCCAGGAGTCGAATCCCGCTCCCAGCTAAAACTGGGTCTTCTATCCTCCGCGAACGGTGAATGCTACCGAATTCGTCTGGAGGATAAGATCACTGACTTGCACATTGCTGGCCCCCTGCAAGTGATTGTATGGGCCACGTCGCACTCAATAAGCCACTAAAATAATGCCATATCCAAAGAAGGGATTGATCGGCGGCAAAGACTTAATCCTCTTTACTTCAGGAATGAAAATCAAGAGAAAGAAGGTTTCCACTACTTTTGCATGCAGTGAATTGAATTAACTATTTTGCTGAAGGAATGGCGCTGAAACAATATCCTGCCCTGAAGAGGACTGGGATTGCCGTAAGCTACTTTCGAGGCCCCGACTGGTGGACGCTGAACCTTCTTTCCACCAACTGTTGAAAAGCTCAGCGACAAGACCGTATCATATCAGTTGTTTTCCACCAATTGTTGTCGCTTACCCGCGTCAAGAACGGGTGGAGAACGGACCTGACTCCCCGTCAAATTCATCCCGTAGCGAATGAGGCTCTACGTTCAAGAGGAATTGGGAAAATATCCTGACGAGCTGCAAGAGCTGTGGAGGAGCTCTTGACTCCTAATTCTTACAAAAAGCTCCGTCTAGCATAACCTACGAAATAATCACCAGAGGTTCAGGACACACCACTGCGATGAGGGTAATTGGTGAGTCAGCGCGACCATTCCACCACCGTTTACAGCAGGAAACCTCCACTCAAAAATTTTCCTTGCAGCTTTTCAGAAACCCAGAACACTAATTGAAGGAGGGGGAGCAGCTTCTCCAAGCCCTAGCACTAAAGAAGGGTTTAAGAATGGACAAATCAGCAGCCCAAACACAGCCCCTTGTGACTCAATTACGATTCTCATAATTCCCCCTTAGGCATCCCTCGCAGATCTCACCTCTCCATCTCGGATCACGATCTCCTCTTTTGCAAACGTCTTCAAAAAAGCGCCAGGTATCAACAACAACCTGACGTTTACAAGAATTTCCTAAGCATTGCGAACCTTGAATATGTCGCGGTCGTCATCGTGTTGTAGTTGGTTCGACACCGGCCTGGCTTCAGGTTTCTAAAAAATTGTTTCTTAATAGATGGAGTCGATCAAAAGATCATCATGGATTGACGTCAAGTATACAAAATGATTTCACTGAGTAACAAACCTCCTCCTTGACGACCTCAGCTGCTTTGGGAGGGTCATATGATGGTTGTGGAACATTCGATGTACCGGGATCAGTATTGTCCTTAGAAGTACCCTCTAATGCAGGTTCCAGCTGGACATTTTCGAGAAGATATTCTACTGTTTCAATGACGGCCTCATCAAGAGGTTGTATTGTGAGTGTCAGTAGTTTGTTGTCGTTAGTGAGAGGGACTGGAACATATCATGGTAGGCAGCGATTGCTGAAGACATAGAAGCTTTCTTTTTTCAACTAGATGGGCGCAAAAGCAGATTGCGTGCAGCTCAGGGATACATGTTTGTTCACTGGTCGAACGCGTACGAACCAAAGGGTCGAATCATATAGCACGTGTGTCTCTCGTGTTTGAACAGCCGTTTCGGGGTCTGGAGAATTGTCCAAGTCAAAAGGCGGCCTCTATTATTAAATAGAAAAGGAGCTAGAGTATAGTTATAATCTGATCTAAAAGCTGATGTAAACATCTGTTATCAGAGACTGTCATCAAGCAAAGTCCGCAAATTGTCATTGGGGCGCGAAAAGACGTGTCCAGAGCACACTTCGTGCTGAACGTATTGTGGGGGGGGGGGGGGGGGGGCGGGGGGGCACGCCTCAGCGGCGAGCAGCGAGTGGTGACTCATCAGTTCTTCACTCATAGACATACTTGAAGCGCGAATATCCAAATTAGAATGAAACAAACAAGATTTTCCGGGAACTTGCTGGGAAATCCCACAGAAGCTCAACAATATTTGATGCTTGATGAGAGAAGTCTTCGCAGCCTACAACTGTTTCTTCACACTTTTCGGCTTTAACTGTTTTAGCTTTTGAATATAGCTAGGGCGAAGTTATATTCATGTTCTAAACACGAAATTACTTCTATATTGCCGAGGAGGGAGCAAGAAGAGCGGATGAGTCATCGCTCGCCGCTTTGCCGAGCGTGCTTCCCCCCCCCCCCCCCCGCCAAATACGGTTAGCACCACAACTTCCTTCACATCCTTGGTGTTTTTTCTTTTACCCTTTTTCAGATTAAGCACCAAGCATTGAAGTAACACACTGTTGTCTCCATTTGCAGGATTACTCTATAAAAGAGAACATACGAAATGGCTGTATCCTGGTACAACACAGCACCGCTCAGGGGGAGACGGGTAAGAGAACCGTGATTTGCCGCTCCGCCGCGCGGCGAATGGCGCGCATTCTCCTAACTCGTGGTGTTAACTTGTCGGATAGGAGGCGCCGGATGTTAGTTTAGACCCCGTCATGCGTAGCTTCACCCTATCTTCCAGTTTGAATCCTTTTGTTGACCGATCTACTACCTCGGAACCGTCGGTCATAACGCGACGCCGCACGCGACGCTCGCCAGCGCCGGAGAATGTACGCTCTCGTCCAAGTAGCTCGCGCACGTCATGCACGCGCCTATTTATTACCTGTTATGTATGCGTTGTTTGCCATGACCAGCATGCTGAGAAAAGCGCTGGTCGGACATTTCGCTTTCTCTGGTTGTTTGGGTGGGTTGCTGTCGTGCCTCTGACTCACAGACGCCGAATAGTAACTCCTGCACCTGAGCGCAGAGAGTAGGCGTCAGGCCAATCGTTGTTGGAAATCCCCTTTTCCTTAGGAGGGGGTCGTGATTGTGTCGCCGGTAGGAGTTCGTGATGCTGAGGGAAGAAATTTATTTAATAGTTGATTTTTCGTGCTCATGACGTTGTAGAAGGGAGCGGGGAAGGTCGTATGTTGATCGATTTTTGGAAGTCGTATTTACGTTTTGGCGTTGTGGGAGTGGCGGTTGACTTTTGGTGATTTTCCTGTTTCACGTACTATACTATGCCCCCCCCCCCCCGCGCTCGACAACTCGATCGATGAGGAAGGAGAGAGGGCCTGGGGGTCGTACGCCAACTCCCAAAGGGAGCGGTCGTATGGAATCACTAAAAGTCCCAGGACCAATGATGTCGCCCTGGTAGGGCGTAGCATGGTGAACATGACAGCGGAACTGGTTACATGGTGGAGTATTCCAGTCTGGCAATCAGGCTGTCATATTGTTACGGTGTTGGAGCAGAGGCACGGACAGACATTGCGTCAAGATGAAGAATATCTCCGAACAGAAGCATACACTCCTGTCAGGGTTGGAGCGCTGGTGAAGTATGCAGCCACGGCCTACCCGATCTCAGGTATTTCGAGTAAGTAAATACCTAACATTTATTAACGGTGTACGCTGGTGATGCAGTCGCGAATTGGTCGGTTGAGGTTTAAAGGAAGGATGCGACTGGTCTCACTTGCGCTCTGCGCGCCACCATTCGTTTTCTTCCCAAATCGATCACCAGCCATCACCTGTATTTGTTTATGCAAACATTCAAGTAAATGGAGGTTGAGGGAGCAGCCAAGCGAGTGAGGAACAGGTGGACGGGGTGGACGGCTGCTCCCTCCTTCGACGGATTTTGAGAGCTTGCTCAGTTGCCGCTATGAATGTTAATTATGTCGGTTTGGGCGGGAAAGTTGCTTTCACATTTTTCAAATTGGATGGTCTTCGCTTTTGTATAGGGAGGCTTGGTGGGATCAAAGATTGTACAGGCAATGGTTGACTGAGGGGTCCTTAAGCCATGTTTTCTGGACACCTCATGATGCCCTCGCTTGCAGCAATGCAGGGAGGCACGGTACGCAACGTTGGACGACACCATTTCAATCGTGACTTGAACTCAGGTTATCGAGGTTTTTCTGGCGGTTAAGTACGGGAGGCAACTAGCAGCTAGAAGGAACAATGCCAGGGCTACACGGTGCACCACGGGACGGCTCACGCTTCTAGTGGCGATCGAGGTATGGGCTGGAAGCTTTTTTAAACGGGTGGCTGCACTTAGTCAGTGATGAGGGCGGGCTGTGCGGGCGGAATTTTTCTCGCCTCTGGTGGAGCACGTTCGCTTTCAGGAGTCTCGGTAACTGCTTGTGGCGGTCAACGCCATTGACCGAGCAGCAGCTTCTTCATCCAGCGCTTGTTCATGACCCTCAGTGCGCCTGCAATCTGACCTGAGTTCACAAGGTAACGTCAAACCGATCAGATTCGTCATGCAAACTGTAGACTATCGTCGCCCGCTTGAAAGGCACCGTCGTGGGAGGTTGTCCCGGACTAATTGAGGGCATCGTCCTCATTCAGCTCCATTATTTTGGCATCTGCAGCTATCATGCTGGCGTCAGGGTGGTGGAAGAAAAGTTTGAAGATGCGTTCGGAGGGGTCGGTGTCGATGGTGGCGGATCAAATCCTTGACCATATTGCAGAAGAAGAAGAAGTAGTAGTAGTCAAGCGAGTGGTACCAATAGAAATACCACTCTTTTGGGTGTGTAAATAAACACACTACCGGTTACCCCTCTTGAGGTAATGGGCAAGTATTTTGATTTCGAAAATTGTGACAGAACTTTCCCGCCAATCTAATACTATGACGAGCAACCCTGAAAAGCGAATGACGGTAAACTCTTTATAAAAACTTTATAAATTGGTTGAGAGCGATGACTTGGATATTTAGGAGGGTTTCAACATGCAGGATGCAAA